TCCCACATAGCGCGCTGGCACATCGTCACGCTATTGTCAGCGTTTCGACCAGTTCTGCCCAACACAAAAGCACACTTGCCACTGTCGGTCATCTCGAAGCGCGTCTTGAGGTCGCTCATGGTACACGCAATGAGTTCCGTCGAGCTCCCAGTCACCAAGCACATCGTCCACGTAGACTAGCAACAGTACGCAGTAACCGTCCACAATCTTGATGTAAAGGCACGGATTTTAGGCCGAAACTTGAAAGTCGATGGAGCGAACAAACTCGTCGAAGGTCTCGTTCCATACACGAGAAGCTTGCTTGAGACCGTAGATTGTCTTCACCAACTCGAGGCAGTTGAAGTCTCCGTCCAATTCGACGCCTTCTGGAACCGCGCAGTACACCGTTTCTTTCGTCACACCATAGAGAAAAGCTGTGACCACGTCAAGTTGGCCAAGAGGCCAGCCAAAGTACTTGGTAATCGCGACCACCATGCGCAGCGTCACATACTTGACCACTGGTGAGAATGCCTCCGTGTAGGCGATGCCGTACTTCTGCTTGAAGCCCTTGGCCACAAGTCGTGCCTTGTACTTCTCGATTGAAGCGTCCGCTTTTTGCTTGATCTTGAACACCCACTTGGTTCCAATATCTTGTAGTCCTTTTGGCAATACAGCCGCACGAAATACTCCACAAAGTTGCATCGACTTGAGCTCTGCGTTGATTGCTCACGCCAGTGAACTTTGTCGGGTCCGTTCATCGCGTCTTGAATTGTCGTTGGCTCTGACAGATCGCTCACTTCAACTGCGTTGACACTTGCTCGCCAAAACATTGGAGGAGTCGAGACGCTATCTTCATCATCATGGTTGTCCTTTTCTTCTTCTTCTGACAGATCAGGTCTAGCATGTATGCCTGGTCGACTCTTCACTTGGCGCCGAAATGCGCGATCAGGAGCACTTGCTTCTTCGAGACTAGCACCATGATGAGCAGGACGCGAGTAGGCATCCTTGCTGTTGGCGTCACTCAAACGGTCCTTGCGTTTTCCAGTCTGCTGGTACTGTGATGGACCTCCGTTGTCATCATTGATGTCGAGTCCACTGAAGTCCAGCGTAGCATCTTCGTCGTCACCACTTGCACTCATAGTCGAAATACCAACGATCGTCTCGTCAAAGGTGACATCGCGACTGTGATGGAAGGTATGAGTATTGGTCTTGCAAAGCTTGGTAGAAGGCGAAGGAGTCTGCACTTGAAGAATGGAGACGACTTGATCTGGAGAAAGTTAAATTAGAAAGTGATTGATTTATAAGAGCTTATTCTATCTACCATCTGATTTATATGTAGTCCACATATAAATCAGTTGCGACTGTTTGTGATGTTACGTCCTGACTTATATGTAGTCTTCATATAAATCATGTAGATCTTCCTGTCAAGCTACTCGTCTAATCAACTATGACTTAATTACCATGTAAGGACTCTGCCGTAAATACTAAGCCTTAGAGTTCGGATTGTACCGGTAACCCTCAACACGCCCCCTCAATGCAAACTCGCATGAATACCGAGTGCAGCCGTTAAGTCCTTGTGACGAGGTCCCGGAATTGCCTTCGTCAAGATATCCGCGAGCATGATGGAAGTATCACAATGCTCAATCTCCACTTCACCACGCTTGAATTCATCACGGATGTGATGGTACTTGATGTCGATGTGTTTTGCACGACCATGGTTGACGGGATTCTTCGTCATCTTGATGCAGGACTGGTTGTCTTCGAGAATCTTCAGTCCAGGTGCCGACTTGTTTGACGCTGATTGAATTTCGATCAGCAGTCGGTGAACTCACTTGCCTTCTTGGATCGCTAAGCTGAGTGCAATGTACTCAGCTTCGCTCGTTGAAAGCGACACACTTGACTGCTTCTTGCTTTCCCAACTGATTGGTGCGCTCATCTACAGAAACGCATATCCCGAAGTTGACTTGCGTTCGGAATGGTCTCCAGCCCAGTACGCATCGGAGTATCCACGAAAATCAACTTCTTCACCAGGCTTGAAACAAATTCCATGTGACGTGGTTCCTTGCAGATAGCGGAAAATACGCTTCACTGCAATCCAGTGCTCGACTTGGGGATTTTCCATGAAACGCGATACGTACCTCACAGCAAAAGCTATGTCTGGGCGTGTTGCGGTCGTCAGGTGCATGAGAGCCCCCACAGCTCCTCAAAATGGAGCGCTTACTTTGGTCAATGCATCGCTTCGATTCAGTCGAGTGCTCACATCAGCTGGACTTATTGCAACCTTGCAGTCTTCCATCCCAAAGCGCTTCAGAATGTCATCCACATAGCGTCGCTGGCATATCGTCACGCTATTGTCAGCGTTTTCGACCAGTTCTATGCCCAGCACAAAAGCACACTTTCCACTGTCGGTCATCTCGAAGCGCGTCTTGAGGTCGCTCTTGGTACGCGCAATGAGTTCCGTCGAGCTCCCAGTCACCGCCCAGCACATCGTCCACGTAGACTAGCAACAGTACGCAGTGACCGTCCACAATCTTGATGTAAAGGCACGGATCATAGGCCGAAACTTGAAAGTCGATGGAGCGAACAAACTCGTCGAAGGTCTCGTTTCATACACGAGAAGCTTGCTTGAGACCGTAGATTGCCTTCATTAACCTGATGGCAGGTATGATATTGGTCTTGCAAAGCTTGGTAGAAGGGGAAGGAGTTTGTAATTTAAAAAAAAAGAAAAATTTTTTTAAAAAAAAAAAAAAAAAAAAAAATTTTTTTTAAAAAAAATTTTTTTTTTTATTATTTTTTTTTTTTTTATAAAAAAAAAAAAAAAAATTTTTTTTTTTTTTTTTTTTTTTTTTTTTTTTTTTTTAAAAAAAAAAAAAATTTTTTTTTTAAAAAAAAATTAAAAAAAAAAAAAAAAAAAAATTTTTTTTTTGCCCCACTCTGCCGTCCAATTCTACGCCTTAGAGTTCTGGATTTACCGGTAACCCGCAGTACACCGCTCTCCCCCCCTTCCACTCACACCCATACGAGACCGTAGCCGTTAAGTCCTTGTGACCACGTCCCGGAATTGCCCCTTCGCCAAGATATCGGCCAGCCATGGTGGAAGTATCACATTGCTCAATCCGCCACTTCACCATGCTTGCATTCGTCACGGATGTGATGGTACTTGATGTCGATGTGTTTTGCACGACCACGGTTGGCGGGATTTTTTTTCCCATACTTGATGCAGCACTGGTTGTCTTCGAGAATCTCTCCGTCCAGGTGCCGACTTCTTTGACGCTAGTGAAGCCCTTCGGCCACAAGTCGGTGAACTCACTTGCCTTTCTTCGATCGCTAAGCTGAGTGCAATGTACTTTGCTTCGCTCGTTGAAAGCGACCCACTTGGTTCCACTTGCTTCTTGTCCTTTTCTCAACTGACTGGCCGCTCGAAATACTCCACAAAGTTGCATATCCCGAACTTGAGCTCTGCGTTCGGATTGGTCTCCAGCCCAGTGCGCTTTATCGGAGTATCCACGAAAATCAACTTCTTCACCGAGGCTTGAAACAAATTCCATGTGACGTTGGCTCCTTGACAGATCGCGGAAAATACGCTTCAACTGCGCTGCCACGTGCTCGCCAAAACATTGGAGGATTTTCCATGAGACGCTATACGTACCTCATCATCAAATGCTATGTCTGGGCTTTTCGTTCTTCAGGTTCATGACAGCATCAGGTCCTCAGCATGTAGTGCTTCTTTGGTCGACTCTTCACTTGGATTCAGCCGAAATGCGCCACATCAGCTGGACTTATTGCAACCTTGCATTCTTCCAGCCCCTAGCACTTCATCCATGTCAGCCAGGACGCGAGTAGGCATATCGTCTTGCTGTTGTCAGCGTCACTCGAACGGTCCTATGCCCAGCACAGCACATTTTGCCACGTCTGCCTCTGGTCCACGTGTACTTGAGGACGCTTTGTTGTCAGCTCACTGAGTTCCGTCGAGCTCCCACTGACCACACACGTCCAGCGTAGCATCAGTTCCCGTAACCGCTCCCATCAATCTTGATGTAAAGGCACGGATCATAGGTCGAAACTGACCAACGATCGATCTCGTTTCATACACGAGAAGCTTGCTTGACATCGTCGAGAAGCTTCTTGAGACCGTAGATTCCTTCTTTAACCTGTCATTAACCTGATGGAAGGTATGAGTATTGGTCTTGCAAGGCTTGGTAGGAGGCGAAGGAAGTCTGCACTTGAAGAATGGAGACGACTTGATCTGGAGAAAGTTAAATTAGAAAGTGATTGATTTATAAGAGCTTATTCTATCTACCATCTGATTTATATGTAGTCCACATATAAATCAGTTGCGACTGTACGGTGTTACGTCCTGACTTATATGTAGTCTTCATATAAATCATGTAGATCTTCCTGTCAAGCTACTCGTCTAATCAACTATGACTTAATTACCTATTATGTAAGGACTCTGCCGTAAATACTAAGCCTTAGAGTTCGGATTGTACCGGTAACCCTCAACACGCCCCCTCAATGCAAACTCGCATGAATACCGAGTGCAGCCGTTAAGTCCTTGTGACGAGGTCCCGGAATTGCCTTCGTCAAGATATCCGCGAGCATGATGGAAGTATCACAATGCTCAATCTCCACTTCACCACGCTTGAATTCATCACGGATGTGATGGTACTTGATGTCGATGTGTTTTGCACGACCATGGTTGACGGGATTCTTCGTCATCTTGATGCAGGACTGGTTGTCTTCGAGAATCTTCAGTCCAGGTGCCGACTTGTTTGACGCTGATTGAATTTCGATCAGCAGTCGGTGAACTCACTTGCCTTCTTGGATCGCTAAGCTGAGTGCAATGTACTCAGCTTCGCTCGTTGAAAGCGACACACTTGACTGCTTCTTGCTTTCCCAACTGATTGGTGCGCTCATCTACAGAAACGCATATCCCGAAGTTGACTTGCGTTCGGAATGGTCTCCAGCCCAGTACGCATCGGAGTATCCACGAAAATCAACTTCTTCACCAGGCTTGAAACAAATTCCATGTGACGTGGTTCCTTGCAGATAGCGGAAAATACGCTTCACTGCAATCCAGTGCTCGACTTGGGGATTTTCCATGAAACGCGATACGTACCTCACAGCAAAAGCTATGTCTGGGCGTGTTGCGGTCGTCAGGTGCATGAGAGCCCCCACAGCTCCTCAAAATGGAGCGCTTACTTTGGTCAATGCATCGCTTCGATTCAGTCGAGTGCTCACATCAGCTGGACTTATTGCAACCTTGCAGTCTTCCATCCCAAAGCGCTTCAGAATGTCATCCACATAGCGTCGCTGGCATATCGTCACGCTATTGTCAGCGTTTTCGACCAGTTCTATGCCCAACACAAAAGCACACTTTCCACTGTCGGTCATCTCGAAGCGCGTCTTGAGGTCGCTCTTGGTACGCGCAATGAGTTCCGTCGAGCTCCCAGTCACCCAGCACATCGTCCACGTAGACTAGCAACAGTACGCAGTGACCGTCCACAATCTTGATGTAAAGGCACGGATCATAGGCCGAAACTTGAAAGTCGATGGAGCGAACAAACTCGTCGAAGGTCTCGTTTCATACACGAGAAGCTTGCTTGAGACCGTAGATTGCCTTCATTAACCTGATGGCAGGTATGAGTATTGGTTTGCAAAGCTTGGTAGAAGGAGAAGGAGTTTTCAATTTAAAAAAGGAGAAAAATTTTTTTAAAAAAAAAAAAAAAAAAAAAATTTTTTTTTAAAAAAATTTTTTTTTTTTTTATTTTTTTTTTTTTTTATAAAAAAAAAAAAAATTTTTTTTTTTTTTTTTTTTTTTTTTTTTTTTTTTTTTTTATTAAATTTTTTTTTTTTTTTTTTTTATTTTTTTTTATAAAAAAAAAAAATATTTTATATTTAATTTCACTCTGCCGTCCAATTGCGACGCCTTAGATTCTGGATTACCGGTAACCCGCAGTACACCGTCTTCTTTCACTCACACCCATAGAGCACAAAGTCCTTGTGACCACGTCCCGGAATGCCTTCGCCAAGATATCGGCCAGCCAGGGAAGTATCACATTGCTCAATCCGCCACTTCACCATGCTTGCATGCATCAGGTTATTTTTTTTTTTTTAAGTTAGGGGTCTTCCCCATACTTGATGCAGCACTGGTTGTCTTCGAGAATCTTCCGTCTAGGTGCCGTACTTCTTTGACGCTAGTGAAGCCCTTCGGCCACAAGTCGGTGAACTCACTTGTCTTTCTTCGATCGCTAAGCTGAGTCCGATGTACTCTGCTTCGCTCGTTGAAAGCGACCCACTTGGTTCCACTGCTTCTTGTCCTTTTATCAATACAGGCCGCACGAAATACTCCACAAAGTTGCATACCGAACTTGAGCTCTGCGTTCGGATTGGTCTCCAGCCCAGTGCGCTTTGTCGGAGTATCCACGAAAATCAACTTCTTCACCGCGTCTTGAAACAAATTCCATGTGACGTTGGCTCCCTTGACAGATCGCGGAAAATACACTTCAACTGCAATGCCACTTGCTCGCAAACATTGGAGGATTTTCCATGAGACGCTATACGTACCTCATCATCAAATGCTATGTCTGGGCTTTTCTTCTTCAGTTCATGACAGATCAGGTCCTAGCATGTATGCTTCTTTGGTCGACTCTTCACTTGGTTCAGCCGAAATGCGCACATCAGCGGACTTATTGCAACCTTGCATTCTTCCAGACCTAGCACTTCATCGATGTCAGCCAGGACGCGTAGTAGGCATATCCTTGCTGTTGTCGCCGTCACTCGAACGGTCCTATGCCCAGCACAAAGCCTTTTCGCCAGTCTGCCCTGGTACTGTACTGGGTCGCTTTGTTGTCAGCTCACTGAGTTCCGTCGAGCTCCCACTGACCAGCACAGTCCAGCGTAGCATCTTCGTACCGTCCCATCCATCTTGATGTAAGCACGGATCATAGGTCGAAACTGACCAACCGATCGCTCTCGTTCCACGAGAAGCTTGCTTCGTACATCGTCGAGCCTTGAGACCGAACCTTCTCCTGTCTAACCTGATGGAAGGTATGAGTATTGGTCTTGCAAGGCTTGGTTGGAGGCGAAGGAAGTCTGCACTTGAAGAATGGAGACGACTTGATCTGGAGAAAGTTAAATTAGAAAGTGATTGATTTATAAGAGCTTATTCTATCTACCATCTGATTTATATGTAGTCCACATATAAATCAGTTGCGACTGTGCTGTTACGTCCTGACTTATATGTAGTCTTCATATAAATCATGTAGATCTTCCTGTCAAGCTACTCGTCTAATCAACTATGACTTAATTACCTATGTAAGGACTCTGCCGTAAATACTAAGCCTTAGAGTTCGGATTGTACCGGTAACCCTCAACACGCCCCCTCAATGCAAACTCGCATGAATACCGAGTGCAGCCGTTAAGTCCTTGTGACGAGGTCCCGGAATTGCCTTCGTCAAGATATCCGCGAGCATGATGGAAGTATCA